ACAACAGGCTGGTTCATTACACATGAAGCTCCGGGGAAATGTAATGAAGCTTTTTCCAACATCTGTGCAAACAAATGTGTTAATAACAGCTGACTTAAAGTGCAATTGTTCTACTGCCATCTAAAGTTTGCCTCAAGACTCTGAACTGAAATGACAGAATTGTACAAAGAGTTTCAAAAGAAGGTCTTCTTCCCTTCTGACCTTAAAGTGTAGCGCCCTCTTTAGGCCAATGAGAGATTTGTAAATAAAACATCTTTGTTGTGGAAAGTAAAATCCTTTTTAAATGTGTGTGTTGTTGTTTAAAATGTTTTTCTTGGCTCATATAACACACTGTTGTTCTGTTCGGTCTGGAACATATTTCCAACCACAGCATCTGTATATATATCACCAGGGTGTATGCAGGAATCCTGAAGTCAAATGTAAGACCTTTTAAGACCTTTTTTAAGACCCTTTCCATACATTTTAAGACCTCATCGCCACTTCGAGTTTTATCCGGTTACCTTGGCGACACACTTTACCTCACATTTACTATATACAGTATTGATTGTCCTTCCTCCTTATCTTCCAACCATTTGGACGCAGACTTGCATTTCCCCATAACGATGTTGTTTAACAACCGGCGTAAACGGACCTTCGCGCGCTATCAAGCAGTGAGCGTGCGATGTCCTGTTCAGATGACGTCACATCCAACGGGATGCCATAAATAAACTACACAGAATCACACTACACACCTACGCAATGATTACATTCAGGCAGACTGTAGAATACAACCTCTTTGGACAATTCATATACTTATTGGAAACAAGCTACAAAATGTATTACCTTGGGAAATGCCGTTTAATACTTTTTAATAGCCTTCATTTTCGCTAAATTGATTTATCAACTTTTAATATTTTTTAAGACCCCGCCGACACCCTGATTATGTATTCAATCTCTGGGTTGTATGAAAGACTCCTCATGAATGATTAATTTAACATTAATTATGTTTAAATGGCTGAACTCTGGCTATTGTTAACTGAGATGGAAATGCTGCATTGTTACAGTGTTTGATTATTACGTTGTATGTCCAAAGTACTTTCACTACAGAAAAGGAAATAACCTTGAAAATATGTTACATAGGTATGACATTTCCTGCCTTAGTTATATCAAAAAAAAAGCTGCTTTCAAAAGATACAGAAATGTAAAAGTAAGTGGATTTTTCTTTTACAGATTTTTAACAAATGATCCACATATGATTCTGCTGGATGCAGGTGATGCAGCTAGAGTAAAGCAGGCGCTATGTTACATCAAAATGGTGTGTACATAACTCATTCTAATTAAAGTGTAGACATTATAAGCGTGTTTGTGTTTTAAAATGTTCTTACATCGTGTATGAGAGTTTTTCAGTCTGTGGCTACAAGTATTGTTTTATTGTCTCGTGCTTTTACATTTGTTTTGTCTAAATGCATTTATACAGCACTTTAATCAACTCTGTTGTTTTTAAATGTGCTATATAAATAAAGTTGGATTGGATTGGGTTATATCATGGATGTATAATAAGAACTGGATACAGCGTGGGAGGCGGGGCCTCGTTCATTCCTATGAGAGTTGCTCATTGGCGCATGAAGACAAAATGGCCCAACTTTTGAGAGAGAGAAACGTCACGAAAGTATTCATATAATCATATAATCCGTTCTTATTGTGCGTCCATGGGTAAAGGTACAACTCATGTAGTACTGAACACGTCACATGAACGTGCCGGGCGGCGCGGTCCCGTGGGTTAGATCCGCGTTCATAATGCAGAGGACAATAACTCTTAGAATAACGTTATTAGCACATTTTACAACTTGAGGACCGAATGTTTTTAATAAGGGCTATACAAGTGTTCATACTGGGTAGTTTATTTAGTTTAAAAAAAATATCCAACGATTTACAGATGTCTCTTTCCCAATGTTAGTCAATGGGGAAAAAGTCTTTCCGGGCCCAGCGACTGATACGGAAGTGTAGTACCGCCGTTTGGCCACAACGAATATTTTCCTCAGAGTCCGGCGCACTTCCTGGGGGCTTGGATTATATAGCATGAGTTGAATATTTTGAGCGTGTTCAGTGTTGTAGTCTTACGGGCGGGATGTAAGGCTCGTCTGGAGCGCAGTGGTAGTTGTTCATGAGCGCGTGCAGCTGCAGGGAGTTGAGCTTGAAGCAGGTGTTGTGGATGTTCTGCACATCCTGCATGGAGTATTTGTCCATCGTCAGCAGCGTGGTGGCCTGGAGGAAACACAGGGGGAAAAAAACACTTTAAATAAGCTACATATCTTTTATATAGTTTACACATTGTCTGTATATTTTAGGCCTTGTCTAGTATCATTAAGATCAAGAGAGTACAGAATATGAATGCATAGCTTGCCTTGTATTTTTGACATTATTTTGTATCCTTTCTTTCCCCATAACATATTCCTTGTCTTTGCAATAAAAAATAATGTTGAATCCTTAAATAAAAATCCTTATTATAAATAAAAAATGGCATTTGAAAAGTTATCGTTTATTTTACTATAAATTCTGAAATCCTTTTTTCTTATTCTTCTGTTTTCCAGCTGACTTTTATCAATCTAATAACTATTTAGATCTTAAACTTTACTTTAATTTGTATCCTTGTATTTGACTTATTTTATTACATTTTGGTTTAATTTGTATTCTCTTGGCTATTTAAAGGTCACCTATCATGCTATTTTTAGGCAATAGCATAGGTCTCAGATATATAAGAATATATAAAAAACATGTCTATGAAGTGTTTTGCTCAAAATACCAAACAGATCACCCATTCTAGCCATGCCTCATATCCCTCCATTTCACTTCCTGTTTCAAAAGTGCTGATTTGGGGTAGAAAGCTTTAAAAAAAAAAAAAGGAGGGGTCTGAGCTCATGCGGGACCCGGCAGCTACTGTCTAAACTAAATACTGCCGTGATGAAACGCCATATCATGGGTTATCAAGGATTGTTTCTGAAACAGTATGGAGCTCAAAGGCTTTCTCTCTTGCCGGTTATACAACAAGGTGAGTTCCTTTTTATTTCCTGCTTCTTCACACACATGCTCTCCAGTACAGGTTAGCTCTGAGTGTTAGCGATGCTAATGTAAACACCGACCATATTACGTCCAAAACAGTCGGGCAACGTTTCTGATAGCAACGTTTCTGATAGGGCCGTGGGTCCACATTTCAGATATTACGTCATATCGGACGCAAATCTGGATCAGCTCCGTTGTTCCCCCGTTTTTAGAGATTTGGGTACGGAGGAAAAGAGAGAGGGTTTTATTTTCTGACGCTGTGTGAGTTCCCTGACACACCGGGGACACATGTTTATGTATAAAAGACATCAAAAAGTGCATTTTGCATGATAGGTCCCCTTTAAGTTATTTTGTGTCTTTTTAAACATATTTAAAAGTAGCATTTATAATGTCTTTTAGTATTTTTATGTTTTTTGTAAAGCAACTTGCCAGCCTTGCATATTTTAAGTAACTGAGTCTCATTTCTATCCTTCATAGCTCTCTGACAGATTTCCGTGCGATGCTTTGTTTTCCTCCCTGGTTTGAAAAGGCGAGGCTCTGATGTCAGATGTGTTCACGCATCACTTGAATTTTCACAACACAATAATCAGAATCTGACGACAGATGTTGGGATGTTTGCTTAAGTTGGCTTAGAGTCAGTCCAATCTGATCAAACAACAAACACTCCTGAGAGGAAGCAGATGTGCTGAAGTCTTACATTTTAAACTCAAGGGTTTCTTTTTTAGTTATATTTTGGAGTAAAAATGATTGAGTGTTCCAGATAAATACAGTCCGTACCATTAACAACAAGTTATCAGGAGCTTTTTAAGTCATTTGTTTGTTTTTTTAACTTTCTTTATTAACTGTGTTTGTCCATATATGTACTTTACATAGATGAGAGTAACACATGCGTCACTTCCGGGCAAAAATGACGGCCACGCCCACTTTTTGGGGACAACAAAGCTGTCATTTGAATGGCGGTCAATTCAAATTATGAAGTTTTTGCCAATCCGATCATATATATATTTACTTTACATTATTACAGTATACTATATACAGTATAAAATAAAATAAGAGAAAAATAGATGGCTTTTTGTTTGCCTTAAACCCAAAAGCAATTATTTTTACGATGCAATAAAAGAAAATCTTTTAAAAATGTAAAACAATAAAATAATAATAAATAAAACTAGGATAATGATAATATGGCTATCATAACAAATAAGTATAATTATTATTAACCTAATAAATTGCGAATAAATTACAATCTATAAAAGATAAATCATATTTAGTGTGAAAATTATAAAAATAAATGTCTAAATATTCAATTCAAGGCTTTATTGTCATATGCACATTAGCTACAGTGTAGATATGTCAATGAAAAACTTCACAGGCTCCTCCAACCGTGCAACATGAATATATATATATATATATAGGACATAGAACAAATAAAACAGATAAAATAGTGCAAGAGAATGTTTTGAGATGTGAAAGTAAATACAAATAAAATAGGAATAGTGCAAGAAGAGTCTATATACAAGCAGAGGTGGGAAGTAGTGGAGTACAAATACTTTGTTACTGTACTTCAGTAAATGTTTCTGGTATCAGTACTTTACTCCACTACTTATTTTTCTGACGACTTTTTACTTTGACTTCTTACATTTTGAACACTAATACCTGTACTTTCTACTTCTTACATGTTGAACCCAAATACCTGTACTTTCTACTTCTTACATGTTGAACCCAAATACCTGTACTTTCTACTTCTTACATGTTGAACCCAAATACCTGTACTTTCTACTTCTTACATGTTGAACACAAATACCTGTACTTTCTACTTCTTACATGTTGAACCCAAATACCTGTACTTTCTACTTCTTACATGTTGAACCCAAATACCTGTACTTTCTACTTCTTACATTTTGAACACAAATACCTGTACTTTCTACTTCTTACATTTTGAACCCAAATACCTGTACTTTCTACTTCTTACATTTTGAACACAAATACCTGTACTTTCTACTTCTTACATGTTGAACACAAATACCTGTACTTTCTACTTCTTACATGTTGAACCCAAATACCTGTACTTTCTACTTCTTACATTTTGAACACAAATACCTGTACTTTCTACTTCTTACATGTTGAACACAAATACCTGTACTTTCTACTTCTTACATTTTGAACTCAAATACCTGTACTTTCTACTTCTTACATGTTGAACACAAATACCTGTACTTTCTACTTCTCACATTTCCCAAACAGGCTGGTTCCTTTAGTTTGAATGTGTGTTTGGTGGCGTGATCATTATTATTTAGAGTCATTGCGTGCCTATTGATTTGAACACGATCCGTGTATCCATCATTTCCTGGTCTTCTCTAAAGAAGAGGGACCAATGAAAACGTTGTCATGTTGCCGTTGTTCAGCATGGAAACATTCATTAGCTAACAATGACATTATTGTTCTATTAATATAAAGGGAGGTCAGGTACTCTTTAAAACAGCTGCTAGTTATGGGTACTTTTTACTGAAGTACATTTCAAAGCCTCTTTACTTTTACTTGAGTAAAGAAGTTTAGTCAGTACTTCTACTTTTACCAGAGTCTTTTTAAACACGAGTATCTGTACTTCTACTTGAGTAAAGGATGTGTGTACTTGTGTCATCTCTGTATACAAGTAAATGGAAATATATGACCTTCCCTATCTCTCTCTTTACTCCCCAGTCCCCTCGGTCCTCCTACCTGTACGATTCTGCTGAGGTGGCAGTCAGCAGCGAGCTCCAGGCCCTGTTTCTCGGCCCAGGCCTCGATGTGGCTGAGCTGCTGCCGGAGGATCGCCCCCCAGTAGTGGCAGCACAGCCCCGAGTCTGTGTCCGTCACCAGCTTGTTGAAGAGCCACATGTTGATGAAGTGGAAGAGCTGCGAGAACAGCTGGATGGTGAGAGCGGCGTTCACTCGACATCGCCGAAGCAACGACATCGCCCCCGTCAACGTGTGAAGTACGTCCTCTGTGAGGGGGAGAGAGAGAGAGAGAGAGAGATCAGATACATGCACAACATTATGGGGGTACAGATAGCTGAGGGAAAAACATATTTCTCGCTCTCTGGTGTATTCTGAACCGTCTTAAACTCACTCCAGTGTCTGTGTAAAGCCACTCATGCAGGTTTGTGGGCATGTAGCCTTGACTGAATGAAGCTTTTTTTAAATACTATTTCCCATCATAAGGGTTAGGATGCTCCAAGAAATAGCATAGAATAGTATCAAAATATACTTTCATAACAATCAGACTCTTGTCTTATCTAAAAATGTACCGTTTAAGAATTTCTAAACGTTTACAAAGGAATACAATTCACTTAGATCGAACTGATTGCAGCAACCTGATGCAGGGTTGCAGATGGACTTAATTCAAGGGATGGAAACAAGTGTGTGTGTGTGTGTGTGTGTGTGTGTGTGTGTGTGTGTGTGTGTGTGTGTGTGTGTGTGTGTGTGTGTGTGTGTGTGTGTGTGTGTGTGTGTGTGTGTGTGTGTATTACCGATCTTGGGTCTCTGTGGATTCTGTTCCTCGGGGTCGTCCAGGAAGGCGGGCATGTAGTTGTTCAGATCCGCCTGGAGACAGTGGACCAGGTACCTGTACAGACACATAACAGCACGTTAAAGACTACAATACTTTAACATTGAACACACGCAGATCTATCAAATATTACCATGGTTACTATAATCAAAATGTTGCTATTTTACAATAGCTGTTTGTTTTTGTTTTTTTACATTGAAATTATTCATTAATGCAGTGCCTTTATTGCAATATTGAGGCCATTACTTGCATAGCTATTTCTATATAAGTTTGTTTTTATTTTTTCCTGATTAGACATATGATGACCTAAATTACTAAATTAAAATATCCACATTTCTTTGGGGGTTTTAGCAAAATAGGTTTCATCTATACAATTCTTATCTCACATGCTCACCGTTACCTAGGACTAACCACGTATATTTGAATTTCTTTCCATTCAGAATTAAAAAAACTATACAGAAAATTATTATTTATTTATTTTTAAATCATAAGATTTATCATATTCTCAGTTATAAAGTTCTCATATGCCCTGAGAACTTCCCACACACCCACACCCACACACACACACACACACGTACTTGAAGGCCATCTGGACGAGGTGTGCGAGGATGTCCTGGGCGTCCAGCGTGATGCGGCTCAGGTCTCGGTCCTGCTTGATGAAGTTGAGCAGCTCCGAGGCGTTGGCCATCCAAAACGCCAGCGCTCCTGCGATGTTCTTCTGCTTCTGTAACGTACGTCACCACAGCCACATGAAGACAAGAACACACACACACACACACAGAGGAGGGTGTTAGAGCAGCAGGACAAAGGAGAGGATGAAGAGTTTTTTTTTTTTTTTAAAGGAAGTGGGTTTCTGTTTGAGTGGCAGCCAGAAGGAGCAGGTGTTACTTCAGGGATAGACTCATGCCCCGCCCACCCCTCCCTCTAAGCCAACCAGATGCCTAGAGGACGAGTGGTCACTACTGTCTTCATTTCTTCAACATCGAAATTCAAAAAACGTGTATTTATGAGAGACATTAGTGACCACTCCTTTTCCCTAAAAGACACCAACTCCATTTACCAGGTCATCACACACGAGCCTCCTATAATAACTTGTTTTTTTTAACTAAATGTACCTTGTTTAGACTGTAGACTTACACATGTATTCAGACTGCGAGCAACAGCATTAATAATAAAAAATTTTAATGGATTAGATTGACTAACAGGGACATTTGTGGCAGATTTAAGAGCTTTCTTATTTCCCATTTAGTGCGAGTAATCCCTCACAAAATTGAAGAATTGCCCCCCAATTAAATCCATTTGATATCAATTTTGACATTACCTGTGCTGTCTAAGGTTATTTTATTTTATTTGACACTTCACTGTCATGCCAATATTCAAATAAATATATGTACACCATTCTCATGTGTGTATGTTAAAAATAAGTCAGCTTGTTTAATTAGTTAAGCAATGAAACTGGACTTGTTTATGCGTGATAATTGCTTAAAAGCTCACTAATTAACACACTTTATCTCATATGCTTACTACAACATGTGATAATGACCATTTCTGGTTTAATATGGAGGTTGAGGTGCAGAGCTGAATCTTGACTAGGTGATTTTCTAGATTGAATAAACAAAACATAATCATTTGAGCGCTTGATATAAGACGTTTGATGCTGCCCCACATGTCAGTCTACAGTCTAGGAGCTCAGTGTGTGAGGAGCTGATTGGTTAACATCCCCGCCACTCAGAGAGGGAGGAATGAAGGACGCTCGCCGCCCTGCACTCATCTATCCCCGCCTTGAAAATCACAAATCAAACAAAACAAAAGAATAACCCTTCATTAAAAAAATAACACAGCCAGAGAATGAGAGATGGAGCCATCCAAAAAACGAAATGATAAAACACTGAAAACACAGACGGATGATGGGACATGTTAAATGAGGAGGTCGACCTGAGTCTCATCCACACTGTTGAGCAGGAGCATGAAGACGGGATGTCACACAAAATGGATGCCAGAATTAAAACACGGAGCAATAAATTGATAAATGGGGGGGAAGGGGAGGGGGGGCGGGGGGGGGGGGGGGGGGGGGGTTGCTTTGGTTTGGCTCAGTTTGTGTTTTTTTTTGGTTTGTTTTTTAGTACCAGGCAGGTCCAGGGAAGCTGAATGGAATTAGTCAGGTTGATATTGTTGCTTAGTTTTCCAGCTGTGGGAGGACGCATTGTTACGGCTTTATTTTTACATTTCTGTTAGAATGGAGAAAATGAAGCAGCAGCAACAATGAAGGGCTGGTCAAAAAAAGCAGAGAGAGAGCTGGAGAGAGAGAGAGAGAGTCAAAGAAGGAAGCCGAGAGGTTGGTGAGGCTGGGCGACATGATTTGTGTATTTAACCCTTAGATGCATAAGTGGGTATTTTTTGACCCGGTGAGATGGTTTTCTTGAAGTATCTTTGTAATCACATTTTTTTATCATTTCATATTCCAGCTATTCCTCAAAAAACATGTTTTGGATATCATGCCATTTTAAATTTATATATTACACATTTACATTTTAAGAAATTGTAGTTTTTGTATTTCTACCCCAAGCTTCCACAAGTGGGTCAAAAATGACCCGCATGCATTTTCTATGGAATTAATTAATTTTTCAAAATGTAAAAGAAATGTCTAAAATTATAAATAGTGAACCAAAATATAATACTAAATATTATACAAGTGATTTTTCTTAACCAAAATCAGAAAAATTGCATAAAAACACATATTATTCTAATACGGGTCCTTTTTGACCCACTTATGGAAGAGTGTAGGGTCCCGTCACTCGTGCATCTAAGGGTTAATAAAACATTTCAAATGATCCGTTTTGTCTTCAAAGGAACGTCAGGATTTTATACAACTACAAAACGTTTCCTTTATTTTTATCATTGTAAACAAAAAAAATGAAACGTTTGAAATTAAATTAAATTAAATGTGACTGAAATGAAGACTAAAGTTGCCTAGTTTGACTCCACCAAGTAAAGAAAAGGCTTTTTGTTAAAGTATCTTTTTGAACTTGCATGTAGAGAAAATACAATAACCTTTAAGTAGATATGGATTTGTTTCAAGTTTCTTTAAAAGGCAGAAAATAGTCCCAGCCTTAAAACACCTTTGAAATGCTCTGTCAAATTTGTGGGTTTTTTTGTATCGATGTCGCCCACACCGACAGACAGAAAGAGAGAAAGACAGAAAGAGAGTGAGTGAGGGAGGTAGACGAGTCTGTAGCAGCCGTATCATGGTGTGCTATCCTACCTGATCCCCTTCAGGAATCTCCTGTATGGAAGGAAGAGGAGGAGGAGGAGGAAGAGGAGGAGGAGGAGGAGACGTTCACAGGACAGAGAGAAAACACGTCAACAAGCTACAGTATGGAAACAACCATGTAACACACACACGTGACCTGCTCCATCGAAATCAGTCGCATTGACCCGAAGACACATTTTGAGTTGTATACACAGTTGGAAAGAGGAGATTCCTAGCTTTCTAATGATATCAGGATTGTTGTTGTACTCCAAATATTAAGCAAAATATGTCACATTATATAATGACTGTCACTGAGTCATCATTTTGAGAAAAAGGCCTTCAAAGTTTCCTCCTCTCTGGAATCCATCGATCTGATTGGTTATTAGCGAATGATCAAAGTAGTACGGAGGGAAAATATTTCCGTTTGGATCACTGGTCTGGGGGAAGCGTGTGTGGTGTGTGTGTGTGTGTGTGTGTGTGTGTGTGTGTGTGTGTGTGTGTGGTGTGTGTGTGTGTGTGTGTGTATTGTGTTTGTTTCCCGGGGAAAACACTCACGAGAAACACCGGCTGGTTGTTATGCCTGCTGTGACGTCAAGTTACAGAAGTTATTCTCCGCTTGTAATTATGCCGTCACAAGCTTCAAAGTTGTATTTATCATCTGAATTTGCCGAAACAAGTTTAATATTCTGAAAGCCAAGACTTTGTTTATTTGAAATAAGATGAAAACAAACTGTAACGGACCCTGCCGTGTTATCTATGATTACTAAACGTCTTACATTCATAATTTCAGCGGAGGGGAGGGGGAGCAGGTCTCTGGAACAGCAGGGTGCGAGTGCCTGTCATCTTCAAAAATGTATTTATCGTGTGATTTTGGAAATAAAAGTTTCATAATCTGAAAGCCAAGACAAAACACCCGAACCCCGAAAAAACTGTTTTTTTAACGCAAATCCACGTTTATTTTTTAAATGAGCCGTTGCGACTTCCGACTGATTTCGATAGAGCGGGGTCACATATATACACATAGACTTCGACACACACACGGTCATGGTTTAAAACGTGAAGACATCTTGAATCAGTTTAACTGACGAATGTCATCGGAGAAACACATCTGGACAAGAAACCATCAAATGTATCAAGTTCTGTTAAAAAGCTTTCAGAGATTTCTTTAAGGGAATATTTTAACTGTGGATGTTTGGGGTACTTATCCAAGTCAGTGTATTATTTTTGTATTTTTTGTATATTTTTAGGTAGCATGGTAACGCACTGCTATGGATAACAACCTCATATACTGTAACCCCACTTCAAAACATCCATACTATCGCTTTGTAGCTTAAAAGAAAAAGGAATCATCAACACAGGTAAGAAACACGAGTGCACTTTATTACTAATAACCTAAAATTACTTTAACTTTAACTACTTTAAAATGAAGCCTTTATTAAAATGAATTTCTATATATAAATAATGTGTATAAAGTAGTCAAATTAGCTCGGCTTTTACCAACTGCAATATTAACATTAACATCCGGCAGTGGCTCAGTCAGTAGGGGCTTGGACTGTGAGCCGTAGGGTCGCCGGTTCAAGTCCCCGAACAGACCTAAATATGGAGTGTGGACTGCTACTTGGAGAGGTCCCAGTTCACCTCCTGCCCTGCCGTGGTGCCCTTGAGCAAGGCACCGGACACCCCCCTTCCCCCCTCACTCCCATTGCTCCCCGGGCGCTATACAATAGCTGCCCACTGCTCCTAGTACTAGACTCCTGGTGCTAGGATGGGTTAAAAGCAGAGAACACATTTCACTGTGTGCTCTGCATGTGTGACCATTAAAGGAGGGGTCTCATTCTATCTAGTGATGCCAACATATTAATGCATCACTAATTATAACTCAGAGATATTAAATATAAGTATTTCTACGTTAAAAGTCAAATGTAAAATATCTAAATAATTCTTTCTAAACTACTTGGTTATTATTTATTGACAGGTGGTTCTTTATTAGCACAAGCTTAATTGATTAGCACATGGCTAGCTGTTTAGCATACACTATGTCACATGACAGGTAGACAAACATAAGACAGAAGGTACAGACTGGTACAATAGAGGAAACTGGAGAGAACGCTTCAGAAAACATACATTTACAAACACTTAAACACATCTTACAACTACATGTGTCGTAGTTTGTAAGGAAAACGGAATATGGGTGAAATTGAGCACCAAAAATTAAAAAACTTCGACAAAAACAGTAAGAAATACATAAATATCAGCATTATGAGGAGAATAACGCACTGAGATAATGCTCAAATGACATGATGTTCAAATACAACAAAGTAATCTTGCACTAATGTACATTTCCCAAAGATATTGAAGTGACTGTTTTTTTGTATATATTGATTGTTGTGTTTTTATCTTAATGTGTGCATAAGTATAAATGTGTCTGTTGATTGTGTATATATAGGATATACATATTTGTATTTGGGATTGTGGGAAACGTAAAATAAAAGTTGACTTGAAACAATCAATAAAGTTGACTTGACTGAAACAAATCAATAAGAGATGAGAATAGAAGTGTTACTGACCTGTATGACTCCCTCCATCATGCTCACCATCTTGTTCACGATGGCGATGACTTTGTGCGTCCTCTCGGAGGGCGACATGTCGTTGCGGGTAGGAGGGGCGACAGGACGTAGCGGCACGCCATGTACAGCACGTAGGTGGGAGAGAGCTTGAAGTGAACCGTGGAGCTGTTGGTGTAGTTAATGATGGCCGACAGGAAGGTGTCTTCAGCTGCACGGAGGAAAGGCAAGGCAAGTTCATTTATGTAGCACTTTTCAACACAAGGCAATTCAAAGTGATTTACAAAAATGAAAGACACTAAGAGCATAAAACACATTAGAAACATTAAAAAGCAAAGATACTAAAACATGAATAAAAGTTACAGTGCAGTGTGAGATGTGAATAGTTTCAAAGAAAAGTCTTCAGCCTGGATTTAAAAGTAGTCAGAGTTGCAGCGGACCTGCAGGTTTCTGGGAGTTAGTTCCAGATATTTGGAAATACCCCGAACCAATTCTCACATTCCTCGACCCCTAGTCTTCCTGTGAAATTATAGTTATTTTGACAGTTTTCTAACCTTTTATATTCCTTTCATCCTTCTCTTCAATCATGTTGCATCCCCAGACAACACATGTTCCTGTTCTCGACCCCATTTACACGGGAACGTTTGCATTTACGCACCTAATTCGTTTTTCAAAAAAGTCTTCCGTTCACACGCATTCGGCTCAATTAAAAACGTGTCCGTTCACACGAGACCGCTCGACCCGCTGGAGACGCTGTAGTACATATGCCGGGCCTGTAAGTGGCCGCTGTTCTACTGCCACAAAATACACCAAAGCAGCGAAGAAGACCCCCGAGCAGGTTTGCCATGGTTGCCGTTCTGTTTATGCCCCGCGGTGGATTTAGCAACATGTAGTTCATGTAGTTCTCCATGTCCACTTGTTGCTGATGGTTGTGGTAGAGGAGCTGTAGATTTTGCACTAACATCTGTAGCATGGTCGAGCTGTAGCATGCTACCATGTACCATGCTACAGCAGTGAGCAGCAGAGGCGGGGCTATGGCTTCATCGTTATCAGGAAATGATCGTATAGGGCGTACACACGGAGCCGTTTGGCCCCCCAGAGCGTTCCGGTTGCAGACCCGTTATCGTTTGCAGGGTCCGTTTTGGCGGTTCCGTTGCGGCCTCGTGTGAACGAACGGGCTATACGCGAGAGAAAAGTAGCAGATACAACCCGTTTCGTTCTCGTGTAAACAGCACCTTACTGTTACCCGAACCCATCTTTGACCTTTAAAAAAAACTCAATTAGATGACACACATAAACTGAGCAAATAATAGAATAGAATGGGAAGGATGAACCCCTCTTTAAGGGTCACACATGCAGAGCACACACAGTGACATGTGTTCTCTGCTTTTAACCCATCCTAGTGCCAGGAGTCTGTGCCAGGAGTCTAGTACTAGGAGCAGTGGGCATATGCCATAAAAGATAAATATATTACATAAGAAATGTTTACTTATATGGCTGTAGGTTTAGCAAAGGTACACCAGAAATACAATGTCAATATAATGTGTTTATAGGAAGTTACTGAGAGGACTTTACTGTATATTTTGAAGATTCGTTCATGTTGACACGCAAAATATAACATATCATACATTTTGTACAAATCAAAGTTACTGTAAAGGAGTGTACTGAATATGTTGAAGCTATGTCGATATGTTGACATTCAATTTATACATTTGTTGTTGTTGTTTAAACCCAGTATTTTGCACAGTTGCAGCTAAATATTAAGAAACACTCGTATGATTAGTATTAAACTATTTTTAGAATTAAAGGTGGCTGTGTAGAATTGCTTCAAACTCGAATGATCCCATCTTCAAAGCGTAAATAAAAAAATCCAACTTTAATGATCAGCAATTTAACAACACTGACAAGCTATATTCAGAAACATTTATTAAGACTTTTTAATTTAAATCAATGATTAACGTCATTAAAATTGCGAATGAAGTAAAAAAGAAAATCAGACTTGTGTGTCATATTGTCCTAATTAAATATTAAGCGAAAATCTTTTTAAAAATCCAACTTTAATGATCAGCAATCTAACAACACTGATAAGCTATATTCAAAAAACTATAAAGACTTAAATAATTGTATCAATAATTAACTTGATTCAAACTGTGAATGAAATCACTTCAGACTTTTGTGTCATATTGTCAAAATGAAAATATGAACTCTTGAGTTAGGTTTGAGGTTTGAGAGAAAATGTCCCAAATCCAAAGAAATGTCCTAAACGCTTTCCTTTCTCCGGAGCAGAGGCATATGAAACCACATTTGGAGCAGCCTTACAGACTGCATTTGGCTTTATTTATCATGACAGAAGCGACTGACACTGCCTGGAACAACAGTTAGTTTAAGTCTCTCTGGTGGTGTGTGTGTGTCATGTGGAAAGCACCAATAAAACCGCTGCGACTCAGTGTCAGTTTCTCTCACTTCAGCTCGCTTTGTAAAGGATTTGAAGTCAAACTGGTTGCAGCTGCTCTACTTATAACAACCTGAAGACCAGGGTTACACTGTGAGTGTCCACATTTTCAACGCTGAGGCGTCCAAAGAGCATGTGGTTTCTCCCGGTG